CCATTGTTTGTCCATTATTTGCAGTCTTTGACCATCAGCCGTGTCCACACCATCTACAGACATAATGGACGGATTGACTGTAGTTACTGATCCCACTGTGAATGTGCGCCTAACGAGCACCATCTCCTCCTTTGAGGTGCAGCGCAGGTTCAATAGAGGGATCACTATAGCAGAGCTAAAGGTGAGACTTGAGTTTTATTGTGTGTCAGACATTATCTTCAGATCGGCCTCTGCCTCACACATTATGACATGTACCATTTTAATTTTTGTGGTGTAATTAGGGAAGGTTGGAGATGGTTGTGGGTGCATCTGCTCCCTGCATGGACCTGGATTTGTTCAGTGTCTCTGACAAGTTTCTGCAGAAAATGGACGACAATGAAGCTTTGCTGGGTTCCTATCCTGTGGACGATGACTGCAGAATACACGTATGTAGCTGCTCAGTGTTTTTAATGTAGCCCACACCACCATCATATTGTAGTATAATACAGGTAGCAACAGGTTTTCACATCGATCTTTGATTGCAAATCCAATTCTGTCCTCCTGCAGGAAGAAAACGCATTTGCCTCTGATAAGATAACATGCATATTTAGCACAACAAATTGTGTGAAATTATATGTTTTTATATGTGCCTGGAAACTTTTTATGGCCCAAAGTTTGCAGTAAAATGTCTGCAACTGCTTTGAAATGAGAACTCTGCTATATAGATAGTAGTTAATGGTTAATAAAATCATTTTCACGAGTGCTTAAGTGCTCATTAGTCCCCACAACTTGGGGAAAAACTTTTTTTTTTTTACAACAATAATGACAAAAAGAAAAAGCTGATAAACTGTCATAATTACCTTGATTTTCAGTTTTTAGCGAAAGCTTGCATACAACTACTGGTGTGGTCTTTTTTTAAAGTCTCTGTCTCTCATCCTCATTCGAAGGTTATTGACAAAAGTGGACAGCAGTTCGGCGAGTTCACTGATGTTTCCAAGGTGGAGAAGTTTGAACTCTCAGATGACATTTATGAGAAGAAAACAGGTACGTTCTGACACTTCTCTCCAAATGTGTTATTCTCAGTGAAGTAAAGTCAATCCCCTGAAAATTAACCTCTGACTAAGAATCAGCAGTTGATAGTTAGTGGCACTCAAAGACAAAAACATTATAATACCAACATCATCCAATGCCGGAGCTGTTGAAATGTATTTTTACGCTGATGTAAAGGAGTTATCTGGTTTGATAGTAGATGTTGTGCTGCGTTCACAGGCCGTATCCTGTTACAATCCATCATTCTTTCCTTCAGATACAGCAAGGTCATTCATGAAGAAACACCGTGTTGGTCACTTCAACGAGGAAGAAGTGGCCAGGAAGAAAGCTGAGCTCGCTGCTCGGGAGGAGGAACAGAAGGCTGCTGCTGAGGCCATTTCTGTTGGCAACCGATGCAAAGTGCAGGTCGCGGGGCAGCCCACAAGGCTTGGCACGGTCATGTATGTCGGTAAGTGTGGATAAAACTTAGCTGGTTTACTTTCTTGAAGACGTTGGTTTAAATCTTGTGCGACTGAGGATTTAATTTCCAACAGAGCCTGGCTTTGTTGTAATTTGTGGCCTGTTAAACCATGTGTGAAGAATTATAGCCCCTTTCATACGTTGCTCTGCAAGTTATAAGAGACCGAAATAACTGCTGGATTGGCTGCTTAAAGTGTTTCTTTCACTGTGTTTTGTTTTGTCTATTCTATTTGGAGACTATTGTTAATGTCCACATAAGGCCAATAAAACCCTTCACATTTCATCTGATGTGACTATAATCATTTTAAATCATTTTCAGTAATTAAGAAGTTATGATTAACCATCTTCAAGTTATGTTGTTGCTTTCTCTGAAGAGCAATAAGGTGCTTTTTTTTTATTACCCAAATGTATGACATAGACTGTGATTGTACGTATATAATGAAAAATACTTACAACTAGTTAGTGAAATGAATGAATAAAATAGAAATAGTTAATTTAACTTGTTTTCAGTCTTTGGTAATACTGAAGGCATCCTGAGTACAGTGAGAGTCGGAGTACCTGGTTTAAAGAACAGTGTTGTTGCGTTCATTGCAGGTACAACAGATTTCAAGCCCGGCCATTGGGTGGGTGTGAAGTACGATGAGCCCCATGGAAAGCACAACGGAACGTAAGAGCAACATCTTTTTCTTGTTTTGTGTGTAGACATTTACAAATTTGATCATGTTGGTCCTGATTTTCCTTTTGACTCTGTCTTTTTTTTTTATAAATGTTGTCTCCACAGTGTTGAAGGGAAGCAGTACTTTCAATGTGAGGACAAATATGGTGGATTTGTGAAGCCCCTGAGTTTGACTGTGGGAGACTTTCCTGAGGAGGATTTTGGTTTAGATGAGATGTAGGACCGTGATTACGGTAACAGAGGTGTAGAGGGTTTCAGCCCTGAAACTTGAGCATCAACCTCAAGCTGTTATCCATTCACCAACCAGAGATGATGGAAAGTCATTGTTATCGTAACAAATGAAGTTCTTGTTTTTGTTTTGCTTCTCTGGAAGGCATGATCCAAAGAGTGGCGTCTTAAGGTCTTTTAGGTTTAAGTTCTCTGTCACTAACACCAACGCAACCTGATAGAGGTGAATGTCAGGTAGTACATCTCTCGGTGTGCTGAATATGATAATAATACAGGATAATCACGAGAGGAGCTCACGCAAAAACATGGTTTTGGAAAGGAGAGGGGTTTTGTGTTGCACGTGAGGCAGCATAATGAAGGTTAATATCTAGTCCTTCATTTCACGCACATCTCTTCAATTTAATTTACTTGCTTTAGTACTGCCTGTTGCTCCCAAGATTGCTCAAGGTGGGAGTCTTCAATGTAAGTCTGTATTGACAACTTCATCTATTCTCTTTTAGTTTGTATCAGTTTGTACAAAGATAATTGTATATAACTGTTTATTGTTAAATGTAGTCTGTAGCATTGTTTTGAAGACTGTAAATTGCTGATGGGTGGTCCAAGGATTGGACAACTGTCTGGAGAAGGAAAAATCCCCCCTAAAATACTTCGACACCAATAAAAAGTGTAATTGTACCTTGTATTCCTGACTAACATGATGTCACACACTGTACACGTCTACAATTCAGTTGAACTGGACAAACGTTTTCCGTTCATTGATTAAAATCAGCGCGTCCACTATATTTCACTCACGATTGACAGACAAGAACTTCACAGTTGAAGAGGAAAGAACAATAAATCCTCCTCAGTTCACAGTACCCTCAATAATCCACAGCTGTTAGTTGTCTTCTGTTTCTGTTTGCTGTACTTGCAGTTATTTCTGCCTACAAAGGTACAGTGCCTGGAAAAAAGAGTGTAAAAGTATGCAAGGGTAGATATTTCCTTTCCACCTTTTTAAAGACATTCAATTTCATTTTGTGTTTGAATGTATTATGTAAACCAGTTCCATTGTTAGGTTTCCAAGTGGATAAAAGATGTAGTTCCCCTTTATTTTTTTAGAAACTGAATTCCTCTCTTTAAAAATGTAATTGTCTGCACTTGACTGTGTCCTGCTTATATTGAACCACTGAAATAAAAAGGCTTGTTTCGAGTTTAAAACCTTTAAACAAATGTAATTGATCAAATCTTATGTATCCGCTTAATTAAAACTGAGCTCTCCTGAATACAGTTGAATGACTATACGCTATACTGGAAAATGACCAGTGAGGATTTGTAGCTCTGGTACATATGCCAAAATAAGATTAAATTTTATTTCTGCAGTTTAATATAAGAGCGACACAGTTGTATGATCGCTGTTAGCATTTACTCCTCATGTCCTTCATTTATTCCATAGTAGTACAGTTTTTTGTCCAGTTTTTTTAAGTAGTTGGTCATTTGTAGAGATTCTGAGCTCATCCCATCTGTAGCATAATTACTAAGTATATGAGATTCACAATGTACCATTAGATGTATATTTTTGATTACCATTGATCCAGGTTTGACCTTTTAAAGTAATATTTCAAAACACAAGCAACAGAAAAACATTACCTTGATCTTATGTGTTTGTTGCTCCTGTATCTAACAGTGTGTTCAGTCTCTGAATCATCATTACAATGAACAGCTTCATCATCACTCTCCAGTTAACTGCCTCTCTTATTACAATCACCATAACACTCTTCGCTTCTGAAAATGTGCACGAATGATATGCCTTATTTATGATTTGTTTGAGCGGTCCAAAGCTGTCACGATGTTTTTTCATCCTCTAAAGTTTACAAAGGAAATGTAAATTAATTATTTTTGTGGTTTCTTTGCAATTAAATGTCATTACCACGTGCAAAAATGTAGTGTTGTTCTCTTTCCCCTTTTAAAAAAAACTGTTCATCTCTAAGGTGCTGGTGTTTCTATGTGCCAAAGGATAATGCTTAATAATAAAAATGATTTGCGAGGACACAAACTTATCAGATTGAGTTCATTTGTCTGTACATTTAACACAACGTGAAACTACACTGAATATTTACTTCAAAATTCACGTTTGTATTTTCAATTATTCTGTTTTTACATTTTCTCCAGTTTTAGAACTGCTACTTCTTAACTCTATACAGATATTGCCTGTATGTCCATCAGGTCTTAGATTTCTCTCTTTTTCCCTTTTTTTGGTGGAGTTTTTCTCTTTGAATTAAGGGTCAAAGGATGGAGACGTCAAGATTTTTGTGATTTGGGCCTATATTAATAAAACTAAGGACTTGACTTGACAAGCGACAGTGAAAACAACAGAAATGTGTAGTATGCAAAACATCTTGATGGGGAAAAAAATCCTTATAAATGATTTACTTACTCTTAATTGTTTACTGAGAAATCAATGAGAACAAGTTTAAATGACTTAGACTTAACAAACAACAAAAAACATCCACTACCTTGACACACCTGGACAGTGTGATATAGTGAATATATACAGTATGCAGAATATTATTGGTGTGGATTGTGTTATCAGCAAAGTAAATATCATAATACCATAAATATAGCGAGTACTCTTGTTATGTTGTTGGATTATTATTACTGATTAATTATTATGTAGGCAGCATTTAATATCATAATTAATTGAGGTTTATTTTTATTGTATCGTTTATATGCTGTTGTGTAAAAGTAAAAATGCAGTGGAGTAGAAGTCTGAAGCGCCATATTCTCATTTTATTCCAAGCAGTATAAAATAGTTTCCGTTTTACATCTTAAGATGACTGACTAAGCAGTGTTTCATGCTGTTTCATCAGCCTTGTCACAAAAAGCAGCTTACAGCTTCTCTTTATTTCTCATTATAAAGACAGTTTACATGTATTAAAACTGAGAACAGATACTAACAAAGAAATAAACATAAAATAGATATATAAAAGAAAAGAAAAACACAAATATGATAGTGAGGCGGGAAGAATCTACATGAAAAAATCATTATCAGCCTAACATTTCTTATATTTTTATTTGCAAACATAAACATACATGAACGGACTGCTTTTACATCATGGGAGTCATTTAACCTTCACCTTCAAAAAAAAAAAAGATGGTTTAAAATGGGCAAATTTAGATTTATTTTTGTGTGATTTTACAAGCAGAAGGATCAAATTGATGATATATTACTGATTTCTTTTGGTAAAGGGGTAAGACAAAAAAAAAGCCCAACAATACATCCTCATATAAAAGGGAAGAATCAGACCTAATTTACTGGGAAATTAAAGCACAATATATTTTTTTAACAGCTTTATTTATCACTTATTTCCAAAACATACATAGTAGCAGTGCAGAAATGATAGAAACAACAGGGTGAACATTACAATAACAATAATTGAAAAACCAAATAAATGATACAGAAAATAAATACACAAATAAAAATAAATAAAAACATGCCATCACACTGTACAATA